AAGTAGGTTACCATTCTCTTCTTCTGGGGAAATGTCTGGGGAAGAAGTGACTCCAAGTCCCATACCAGGGGTTGTTTGTATTGAAAGCTGCCGAGAGGTCCAGGAGAACCAACAGGGACACACTCCCCCCGTCATTCTCCCGGCAAAGGTCGTCAAACAGGGCGACCAAGGCAGTTTCTGTCTCATAACCCGGCCTGAATTTAACATGTTTCAATGAAAGGTCATGAAATAGATCCAAATCTAATACCTTTGTATTTGGTCACCACCGCTGAGTTCATGCTATGAGGTTCTTGGAAAGTGACAGTGAGTGATGTACTGCTTGTTACCATAAGGCAGACATTAGTTGGTGCCTCGGGGGCTCCTGGGAGTGAAGAGAAAATATTATGTCATAGGCAAAACAAATACCTTTCAAAACAGTACTCAAAAGTCAAAACCATGCAACAGTGGAATATGTGTCGAGCCAATGATTCCCTTTTCCCTGCAGCCCTCTATCTTGGTTCATAATCTTCTTCATCTTCAGACTTGGACTGCAGTGTGCGCCAATGGAGAAGCTGGATTTTCATCACACTGTCCATCTGAGGGTACAAACCACACAATGCACTTCCCAACATATATGCCAACAATGTATGCAATCCTGACTTGGGGATCTGTTGAATTGAAGATTAGGACAAGTTATGATCAGAAGAAACCAGGAGGTCATACATTTAGGTGCAAGGAAAAAGAGAAAGCGGTAACAGGGATGGAAAAGGGAACACGAGCTGGTTTCTAATTTTTGATAAGAGCAGGGAGAGAGAGGGAAAGAGCTTGTCAATGAAACATTTTTTTCTCCCATAAAGAACAGAACAATTTAAAGATTTTAATTACTTCAGGGTTTGCTTTTCAGCTGATTAAAAAAATTATCTATTAAATCTAAATAAAACACAAACACAACAGAACCCCCATATCTGCAGAATTGGTGTACTACAGAAATTTCAATGCAGAGATTTGGCTGAAATATTGAAAGAAGTGTAGGATAATTACAATTTGGTAAGTCAAAGCTAGGAGTTCTGTTCCAATGGAAACAATGAACTGGGAGGTTTAGACTTCACACAAATCTTCTTTCGTGCCAGGTCAAACTATTGGTCCATCTAACCTAATACTACCACCTACTCAAGGGTGTCTGTATGCAAAACATGAAGTTGTTCTAGACCTGATCTTTTCGAACATCAGGACTGATGAACCCAATTACATTAGATGCAGAACAATAGATTGCTGCATTTTGGGGTAGAAACAAACATTATATTGCCTGTGATTAGCACTGTAACTACATTAGTGCTAGAGAGATGTAATTCGGGCAGACAGATTCCTGCAGCGTCACCTTAGAATGGGCAACTGCCAGAGGAGGCGGAAGAGGAAAGCATGAGCTCCTGCTGTCCTTCCTGTATGAAAAACCATGTTTCAATGGAATTGCAGCTTAAGTTTTTTAAGGCTTCAGTTGTGAAAACAAATTACAAAAAGAAAGCAATACAAAATTCAGATTGCTGATTGGAAAATCATGCAAAGAGCAGGAAAAGTGCCATTCAAAATGGTGATTTATAGAGATCAGTGCACTAGGACAGGAAACCTTGTCCCATGAACTGTGATATTTAGCAATGAATTAGAGCAATTAAAACTGGACTAAATCCAATAGCGTCCCACCTAGAGGAGACTCAATAAAACATCAGGTGAGAAAAACTCATACTGTGTGCTCTGGGGGATTCAGTAATTAAGCCATTCCCTCTTCTAATGAGAGATTATCAGGAATGCCAATTTCTGCCCTTAATGATGAACCATTCTCATTTTGACACTAGAGACCTTAAGAGAGCAATTAGTGACTGCAGAGGTTTCTATACACTGATTACAAATGGCAACCTGCCTTGTCCAGTGGACAGAAAATGGGATAAATTTTCTTGAACCTCACAGTTTTCTTTATTCCAGGTCTGGGCATATTGTTTTACCTCCACCAGTTTTCCTACCTATCTAATTCAGGTTAATTGTTCTGCATAAATGCTAGTGGGGAATAATTAGGAAATGGCTGTGCTATAAACCTTCCAGGTGTGCTTATACTTAGGGCCATGTCATGCATGCATTGCACCCCTGGGTGTTCTTACTGGAAAGTTCAAAGCCTGACTTCATGCGTTTGTAGAGCCGGTATCTCCACTCCCAGGCCTTCAGCTGCTTTTCCTTCTCACAACTGTCCGTACTGAGACCATCGTTCATTACTTGTGCAGACAGGTCGTTCACTCGTTGTTGAGCTTCTTGAACTAAGTGGTTCAGGTGGATTGACCTGCTTTCCATATCAACAACTGCTTGGAGAAAAGAACTGTGAGTCAGGCCTTTTAATAAGCAAATTACAGCAAGAATAGAAAGAAAAATAATGATCATCTCTGGCCAAAAACACATTGCCAAACGGTGAGTCTCAGAATCTTCAGCAACACTTCAAGAGACCCTAAAGATCTGCATGAGACCCAGCATAGAGATTGCAAGAAGCAGTGATGGCGGCCACAGGTGCTCTTTCAGAGCCAAGCCGGCCACCATGCATGGTTAGGGCACTGTGTTCATTTTGTTGGGTTGTCCATGGTGTAGTTCTGATGATATACTGTACTCCTTTGCTGGTACTTTAAAGATATTGCTGAAGAGTTTGATCTATTTCTGTAGATTGCCCAACCAGACTTTGGCAAAGCACTGCAATAACCACTTAAACATGAACACAAACTAAGGCTATATTTTTGTCCCCTTGGAG